GGGGTGCGTTGTTGCCCCCGGGAGGGACATTAGCCGCCAATGCGAGGAAGCAGTCAGTAAGGCTAACCGCACCTTGTCGTGCACGTACTGAGGCATCAGTAGCAAGTCCAGGGAGGTGATCCTTCCCCTCTATGCGACGCTGGTCAGGCCGCAGTTGGAGTACTGCGTCCAATTCTGGGTGCCGCACTTCAAGAGCAATGTGGCTAACCTTGAGAGTGTCCAGAGGAGGGCTACTCGCATGGTCAGGAGGCAGTAGGCCAGGTCCCATGAAGATAGACTAAAGGGCCTGAATCTATTCAGCCTCCACAAGAGAAGACTGAGAGGGAATCTGGTGGCCGTCTATAAACTCACCAGGGGGAACAAGCGGGAAATAAGTGAGGCTCTGTTCCCCCAGACACCACCTGGGATAACAAGGAATAATGGCCACAAATTGATTGAGAGCAGGTTCAGGCTAAATATCAGGAGGCATTACTTTATGGTTAGGGCTGCCAGGCTTTGGAATAGGCTCCCAAGGGAGGTGGTGCTCTTCCCTGCCTTGGGGGGGTCTTCAAGAGGAGGCTAGATAGATATCTGGCTCGGGTGTTATGACCCCAGCTCTCGTTCCTGCCCAGGGCAGGGGGTCAGACTTGATGATCTATTCAGGTCTCTTCTGACCCTAGAAACTATGAAACTAAGATCCCATGATCCCTGGAAAGGGGAGGGGTTTTCTCTGGCAAGGTTTGTAACACATTTTCCAAATCCAATTTAAACACTTCTAGTGATGGCCTCTTCTGGAGGAGACCATAAGCACCCAACAGAGCCTGTTATTAAGAAGAGATTTTGACTTGCTGCCTCCCTTTACCCACTTCACCTACTGTTCATCTCCCCTTGCATCAGACTGAGTAGTTCCTCTCCCTTTTCCCAAAGGAGCACTCTCCAAACACTCCCTTCCCAGCTTGGCGTCTAGTGAATCTCCACAGCTGGGTAGGAAGGGTCTTGATGAAATGCCCCATCCCAATTTGTACCCTGCTGGTTTGCTCTGCTTTGCATGTGGCTTGAATGGATGCTCGCTTTAGAACCACAAGGTGGCAGCAAACAGACATTGTCCAGCTTTTGGGCCAGCCTAAGCTGTTGGCTACCATGAAATCCTTAGTGTGTGTGAAGGTGTGAAGAACCCAGGGCAGCTACAGTTTAATTTTCTTAAGCAGGTTTAAAGGGGATCAGTAACTGTGAAACCACACTCGGCTGAGAAATTCAACCTGCTGTTACTGCCACTGACACTGTGGAGTCCTGTAACTCAGAGACAGGAGGGGAGTCAAGGGAAGAAATCACCATCTCTTCAGCTGGTTTTGCTTTGTTTATCTGACAGCACCTTGACTGTCCTCAGTTTCATCATGCCCCTTGCTGAGATGGTCAGAGCACCCATGTGTTTATTTCATTCTGTTGTACTGCAACAGGAAAAAGGAAAAACGTGATTGTAGAAGGAGCAGGTTGTGGGGATCTGGAGCAAGTGAGTGTTTAGCTTGGAGTCAGAAAGGGAGGAGCCTTTCCTCTAGGGACACTAAGATTGGTAGGGACAGGTGTAGGTTAATTTGGAAATAGAGGAAGGGCCTGAACTTATGAACTCACCTGTGTTAAAACTGATTGGATGCTGAGCCGGGGGAGGGATATCTGTGATGCTTTAACCTGTGTTCCAAGGTTGGGAGGGATCTAAAAGGCTCCTGAGCAGGATTGGGGCAGCTGAGTTGCAGGACTTTGTCTCAGAGGGAAGACTTGAAGGATGTTCAGTTATGTCACCTGACTGCCACTAGTGGCTCTTGACACAGATCCAGAGACAGTCAGCTGCCAGCTGTGCTGACCTAGGCTCTGTTGCATGGCATGGCCAGAGCTCATCTCTGCTCCGTTTCACATGGGAGGCTGAGTCGGTCCCTTGAGCTGTCCACATTCTGCTTCGTTCCAGGGCTTTGTGCTGTGTCACTCCATTGCTGGCGGAACAGGCTCTGGGTTAGGCTCCTATCTGCTTGAGAGATTGAATGACAGGTGAGTACTCAGCATTAACCCCTTCACCTCAGCGGACTCTAGTCCAGCCTGGGACTTCTGGAAGCTGAAGAGTGTTGACTCAGGGTATGGACAGACATAACAACTGAAACATTTCCAATTAAAATGCACTTGGAAACATTTCAGCCAGGGGTGACATGTGCCCCCAGGGGGTGCTAGAGCAGGCTGCTGGGACCAGCACTTTTTGCTTCCACTTCCCCCTAGGGATGGGAAAGGAGAAGAGACAGGTTGGGGAGGGAGATCCCCAGCTCCAATCTCTTCTATCCCCACCTCTTCCCCTTCACAGTCCCGCAGAGAGGTGGAGGGTAGGGGGACTGGCACTGAAGGGACCCCCAGGGATCTGATGGGACAGAGCAGCTGGCAGGCCATCCGCCTGCTCTCCCTCCCGCCATTCCAGATGTAACAAAGTGAAACATTCCAAAATAGTACCTCTTTTAAGGAGAGAGAATACATTGGAGTGTTCCAGCCACTTTTAGAACGTGTCAGAGGGCTTGTACACATGATGAAATGCCCTTTGAAACATTTCAAAGGCATTGGAAACATTTTAATTGTTACGTGTGTCCACACCCTTAGGGCCTGTTCCACTGCCCCCACCCAAACACTGTCTCGTGCAGTCCCCAGCAGTTTATCTGGAGAAAAGGGATGGCTCCTGCTATACCCAGGGGCTGCAGAGTCTCTGAAATGGAGTTTGTTCTGTTCAGTCTCTTTGTCTCCTTTCAAGTTGATCTGATCTGATCAGCTGCACCGATGAAGGTAGGAGGCTGGAGCCAGGATTCCCACACTGCTACCTTGCTTGTCCCCACATGCAGCTTTGCTTGTGAGCAGCTGCTTACTCATCCAGTGGCTGGTTCAGCCTTGCCTTTGGCTTTGTCTGACGGCTTCCTGCCGTGCTGCTGGATGCAGGCATTGGCGGAACAAATTTTCTTCCTCCCTGGGAGCAGACTTTGGCATGCACTGTGGGTGACTCACCACTGTCCTGAACCCTGGAGACTGAGAAGGGAACTCGTGGGAGGGAAGTACTGACAGCAGGATTGATGAAGTTAACTCTTGATGTCTGGGCTCACTCACTCAGATATCCCAAGAAGCTGGTGGAGACCTATTCAGTTTTCCCAAACCAGGATGAAATGAGCGATGTCGTCGTCCAGCCATACAACTCCTTGCTGACTCTCAAGCGGCTGACCCAGAATGCTGACTGTGTGGTAAGAATCCTGCTGCAACTTGAAGCAGAGTGGGGGCACCAGTGGGCCAGCCCTCACCTCCCACTTCAGGAACCATTGGACCTCCAATCTGTCGAGGCCAGCACAGCTGTCGATCAGTAGTGATGCTGTTCTTTGTGTTTATGTAGGGTCCCACATTCCACATCAGCTCTGAAATATAGTTTGCCACAGGGCAAGCAGCATCAGCCAACATGTCATAGCAGTGCATTCTAGTGTCTGTGCAGAGCAAATGGGACCTGGAAAGCAAATTGTATAGAGCTCCATACCTGCCCCCGGAAAGGCTGAGCCGTTCCATAGTCTGGGAATACAGGGCTTTGAACCTGTGCCTGGAGCTCTGAGGCACTCCCTTCTGCATTTATGCGGGGCTGTCTTCTAAATATAGGACAAATTTGCTTGCAGCAGTGAGAGGCTAATGCTGGCTCTGCTTCCACTGCTCTCCCTCCTGTTTCAGTCCTGAAGCTAGTGAAAGCAGAAGCCAGCTGGAGAAGAATCTGACTTAAAACACTCTACTCAAACATAGCTCCCCTTGGGCCCTACCCGAGGTCTTCATTATCACTGACCCCTGTTCTCCAGGGGCCTCAGCCTGGCAATAAAGACATCTCCAGCTCCCACCCAGACATGTGGACAGGTCTCAGCCAAGATGCTTTTTCATCCAGTCCAGTTTGCATGAAAATTTCTAGTCTCTTGGTCTGTGTCGCTAAGCAGTGGGCTTTCTCACTCCCCTCATGCTTTTCACTTGCTTTGACATTGCACTGCACTGTCTTGGAGGCAGACATTTGGGGCGGCGCTGTCTTGGGAGGGCTCTGGGGCGTGCAGCCAAAATGGGAGTGGGAGAGTTTCCCGTGGAGTGTTGGTTATGCTCCAGAATAGCAGCCATCTCGGAATGAATCAGTTTGAGTGTCATCTTTGTCATTGCACAGTGCTTCATTGTGCTATGACATTTGGGCCCAGCACGCTGAGCAGAAACTGATAGTTCTCTCGATGTTCTCACTTGTGACATTGTGTATCATTCAGCTTCCCCTAAGAGTTCTCCAGGTAGCTGAGCACAGCCCTCTCTCTTTTGCAGGTGGTTCTGGACAACACTGCTCTGAATCGGATTGCCACAGACCGGCTGCACATTCAGAACCCATCCTTCTCCCAGATCAACCAGCTGGTACAGACCCCCCACTCTAGGAGTGTTCACTTTGAGAAGTCTGCCAAATATTTTAATCTGGCATCCTCTGGTTTAGTCTTGACCTGTCTATGGCTGCTTGGCCTGGATCTTCCTGAGCCACTGTTGAGGGACCAAAGTCATGCTGGGGCCTTACAGCAAAGGCTCCTGGTGGGGCAAGGAGCTTGGCTCTGCCCCGATCTGTGCAGATGTGCTTTTATTGCTGTGGAACTGAGCTCTGGGTTGAGACATCTCACTCCCAAGTGCACTGTTCCCCAGTCTCTGACTGTGTTCCTTCTCTCTCCACTAGGTCTCTACCATCATGTCAGCGAGCACAACAACACTTAGGTATCCTGGTTACATGAACAATGATTTGATTGGCCTCATCGCCTCTCTGATCCCCACCCCCAGACTGCACTTTCTCATGACTGGCTACACACCACTCACTACAGACCAGTCGGTAAGCACTGACCTATTTCACAGGGCTCTCTCCTGCCCAGGGGCTTCCTCCAGGCCTGTCTCATTGCCCGCATGCCTGTTGCTGCCTTGAGCCATGGCCAACACCTATGTCGTGTCCTAGCTTCTTACTCTGGGCTTAAACTGTTTTCTCTATCTTGGTTCTTCCCTGCTACCATATAGCCAAGCAGCCTCCTCACTTGGCTTAGGGCATTTGACAGACTGCCACCCCCTGCTCTGCTTGACCTACCTCATGATAGCAACAGCCTTTGTGTGGCCCATGAGGCAGATGTCTGCCCTCAGGCAACCATCAAATGCTGAGTAACCCAACTTACCACAGAGCACAGACAGAAGTACCAACTGAAACTCTTCCAAATTAAACACACTTAGAAACATTTCAAAAAGTAAACATTCCAGCTGGGGGACATGCACATGGCCCGTGTGGCCTTCCTCAGCTGGAACATTTAAAAAATATTGCAGCCCCCTCTACTGCCCTCCCAGGGTGGGGAGGTAAAGGAAAAAGCAGGGGTTGGGGACAGCAAGAGATTCCCAAGCCTCTCTTCTCCCCTTCAGAGTGGAGGGGTAGAGGGGATTGGGGCTGAAGGGCTCAGCTCTGGCAATGGCAGGGGGCTCCCCAGGAGCTAGCAGGGAGGGGTAGTACCTGGCTCCTGCCTGGTTCTCACCCTTTTCTGCAAGTATAGGTAACAAAAATCAAAATGCTCTCAAGCATTATGTCATTGTAAAAAAGTAACTCTTCGAGAGTGTTTCAGGTACTTCTAGACCGTACGGATGCACAGCTAACCCTTTGAAACATTTCAAAGGCATTCAAAACATCTTGATTGTTACAGCTGTCTGCACCCTCATCCTTTGCCAGCAAATTCTTCCAGTCCCATCAATTTTAATTGGAGGGACTTGTCAACTAACAGCAACCACATAATTTCCCTTGGGGCAGGATTCTGCTGCTCTTTGCAAAGCCTTGGTAGGAAGTACTCATCTGCAGAACTCCTGACCTCCCCTCCTCAGTCACCAGCTGCATCATCAGAGTTTAGAAAGCAGTAGGATAGTAGTCCATGCTTCTGCACGTGCATTCTTGAGTCCCTGATCACCCTCCTGCAGTGGGCACATCTGCACCAGCCAGGACCCAAGGCCCTACTGAAGTATGGGAAGTGTGGTAGCTCAGGATGAGCAAACCACTGCTGTTTCTCCTCTCATCAGATGGATTTCCCCAGGATGTTACTCAGAAAAGTAAGTCGGAAAGGCTGCTGGCTCAGAAATGGGTATGAGCATGTGTTCTGGCTTCTGTTGGAGGAGTACAGGGAGCCTTCCAGCAGCTTAGTTGATGTCTGTCCTTGACCTGCCCCAGCCCTTGTGTTTGGGGCATGACCTCTGCACACCAACAAAAAGCTGGTTAGAAAACTGTGGCTGTCCCTAGCATAGAGCTATAGGAAGTTAGTATCAGGAAACAATTTTTCCTGCACCTTCAAGTAAACAGTCATTTCCTGTCTTTAGAATGTCCATCAGGTCTCCTGCATGGATATATATAAGCACCTTTCTGAGCAGCTGCACATGCTAGAGTTTATTTTTTCTCCATGATAAATACCTGCAGCAGGTTAAGTTGACTGCCCATCTGACACCAGCAAGCAGTGAAGTCAGCTTTCCATAATGCCTACATGCAAGAGCCACATAACCAAAACACAGCCCTTCAATGACCAAAAAAACCACTGCACTGCAGCCCTGCCCAGCACAGTGCCACCATGTGAGTCCCTGAGTACGGAGTATGATTTATGGTCTCTAGCAAAGAAATTTCCCCTTACTGAAGTGTGCCTCCTCTCTTTATGTTAAGCGACAGATGATTATCCCTTAGAGTCACTGCCTTGGGGCCCAGTTCCAACTGTAACAAATTCCATCTGAGCTTGTGTGTGTTACGGGAGATGGGGGAGTGTTATGAGCACACTGGCTCTGTGCAGGGTCAATCCACCACTGCAGTGAAGTGGTAGAAGGGTGTTGACTGTAGTGAGGTCAGTAGCAGTCACAACATATCAACTCCTCTCCCAAGTGTCATGCCCCTATTCCATCCCTGCATGCTCATTGCCTCGCTAAATACTTGTGCGGCTGCAGAGGGTGGAGTGACTCACTCTCCATATGTTCCCTCTCCTCCCCTGTTCATTAGGTTCAGGCTGAGCTCTGCTATTAGCCCCGTGCATGTGGGGGCAGGATGGCTCTTGGTTGCTTCCCTTTGTCCTGGAAAGGCACAACAGTAGCAATTTTGCATCAACTGTCACATGGCTTCAGTGACTTCTCTCCCTTGCCTGTGGATTTGGGGCTGTGTGCATGATTCAAAAGGGCACGGGTCTTCCACAATGACCTTATTTCTGCAATTGATCTAACTTCAGCATAGACCTCCATGTGCTGTGTAGAGGCGCCACACAGGGGGGTGCACCCAGCACTCTGCTATATGCATGTATGAATCATCCATCTGAGTTCTCTCTGCTGGCATTTGCAGGTGGCCAGTGTGCGGAAGACCACAGTCCTGGATGTGATGAGAAGATTGTTACAGCCTAAAAACGTCATGGTCTCCACTGGGCGAGACAGACAGACCAACCACTGCTACATTGCCATCCTTAATATCATCCAAGGAGAGGTGGACCCAACACAGGCACGTGGGATGTGCCTGCTCCCAGATGAAGGGAATGGATTGGGTCATAGTGCTACTAGGCTATGCTACTAGGGGTGGGGTTGGATTGGATTGAAGGGTCCCTAAAATAGACAGTTGATGGAAAGCCAGAGAAGGGCTGACTGCTGCTCAGCCCAGCTACATTGGACCAAGTCCTTTGAAAGGCTATCTCTGTGTTCACACCCTGCTGCCTATGGAAGTCTGCCCATCCTGGAAGCTGATTGTTGAAGCCCAGGCCCATGAGCAGTGGTAGGAACAAGCCCCTTAGAGACACTCATTCACACAGGCCCTGCCCAGTCCATCTGGGGAATAGCAGGGACTGGGTGGTCTTGCTGGCCCCTTTAAGGATGTTGACCTTGCCTTGCCAGCTATTTGGCAGACATAGCTGCTATGTCTGTGGCACTGACCTGCTTTTATCTTGCCAGGTTCACAAGAGCCTGCAGAGGATCCGTGAGAGGAAGCTGGCCAACTTTATCCCCTGGGGGCCTGCCAGCATCCAGGTGGCACTCTCCAGAAAGTCTCCTTACCTGCCATCTGCACACCGGGTCAGCGGTCTGATGATGGCAAACCACACCAGCATCTCCTCGGTGAGCATGCCGGGTACCCTCACAATCCAACTTTAGCCACTGTCAAGTGGCCTGATGCAGGCCACATGTGTCAGGCACCTTTGCTGTAGTCTCCTGGAGCCAGAAGCCTCAATGTTCATTTCTCTCCCAGGGACTCTGGGATCTGCAAGAGTTGGATGCTGGAGGAATCCAGCCCTGCCTAAGTAGATCATTTGTCCCCATTTGTTGAAGTAGCCCTGGGAATACAAGCTGTTACTCGGTCTAGTAAGCTTCATGGGCACCCCAAATCAGAAGTTTCCTGGGAATGTGAAGGCAGATGGCAATGCTGCAATGAGCTGCTTGCTTCTTCCTACCAGGAAACCTGGTTAACACACTGAGACATATCTGCTTTGTATCAGCACCCCCTCCACCACTGCTAAGCTAGCCAGACACAGGGGGCTTACCTACCCTAGGATTCCCCTCCAGAGACTTCTCTGCTCATACCTCTTATGTCCTTTGGCTGGTTGGCTAAGATTAGGAGCTCCCATGTTCCCACGCAGCCTTTTGCTCCCTGGTCCTTCCCCACTCTCACATCTGTTTTGTGTGGTGTCCTAGCTGTTCGAGCGGACGTGCCGGCAGTATGACAAGCTGCGCAAGAGGGAGGCCTTCCTGGAGCAGTTCCGCAAGGAGGACATCTTCAAGGACAACTTTGACGAGCTGGACAACTCCCGTGAGATTGTGCAGCAGCTAGTCGATGAGTACCATGCAGCCACACGGCCTGACTATATCTCCTGGGGCACGCAGGAGCAGTGAGCACCGTGTTATGATCTTTGCCCTTTCCCACAGGGAAGGAAGACGAACAGGAACAGAGAAAGACAGAGTTTGTTGTTTCCTTTTGGCATATCTAACATTCTTCCTTTATTGAGGTGAGCTGCCCCAGCTGACAAACCCACCCCTCGTGATTTTGGTTGGACAGATGTAGTTAGATTGGGCTGCCAACTTCCATTGTGATTCCAAATCCAGTTAAAGATTTCCTAAAGTTTTGAAACAAAATGATGCTACTGTCCTGATGGAAACTACTGAGCAGACAGTTTCCTTATTCCCAGCCCATGTAATCAGTGAATAAACTTCACTGCTATTTAAAATACATGGTCCAGTTTGGACTTGCCACCATGCTATCTCTGCATGGAAAATGTTGATACACTCCTAGAGGCCTCTTAGATCAAAACCATGCTCCCAGTTTTGAAGTGATCCCTATTCCCTTTATGATGCTTTGTAATTCTCTTTGTTTTCGTGGATAGGCCATGACCCAAGACACATCTTTATTTAAATTGAAGTCTTGTTTTACCATCATCCAAACTATCCTTTCAGTTAAGGTGCCACTTTTATAGATGTTTTCACTGTGTTCTGATTTAATTACTGCTTGTAAGCTTGATGTGATACTGGTGCTCAAATCCTTGGGCTCAGTGTGTGGCAATACTTGTCAACTTATTTTTTACTACTTCTAGGTTTATTGAGTTTAAGACTCCCATACCAGTGCTAGAAGGTCCTAAAACAGTGTCAACTGCACTTTGTGGTTTTATTAATATTTTAAATGTTTAGGTTCTAAATCATGCTTCTATCATTTGTTTGGGTTTGGGAGGGGTATTTTTTTATCCTGTTTATTGCAGGAGTTTTTTCTGGTCATCAAAACTTGCTTTGTGGATAAGTGCCATATCACAAGCTTATACTTGATGTCATAAGCAAACGTAAGAACATAAGTGCCCTACTGGATCAGACCAGTGGTCCACATAGCCCAGTATCTTGTTTCCAACTGGCAGAAATGAATGCTGTAAAAGGAGAACATTGAACCAGATATCTCTAGAGTGATCTATCCCCTATTCAGTATCCTCCCTGGCATCTACCATTCTTGATTTAGAGATGCCAGAAGAAACATCTCCAACCATTCTCTTCAGTAGTCATTAATAGATCTATCCATGAATGTATCCAGTCCCTCACTGAACCTGGTTTTGCTATCTGCCTCCACCAGATCCTGTGGTTATGAATTCTCCCAGTTAACCATGCATTGTGTAAAAAAAAAAAAAAAAAAAAAAAAAGTAGTATTTCCTCGTATTAGCTTTGAACCTGTCACCTACTAATTTCTCTAGTACTAGTATTCTGGGAGTTGGTGCATAACAACAGTTCTCTATTCACTTGGTCTGTCCCCTTCATGATTTTTTAAATAGATCTCTATCATATCCCCCTTCAGCCTTCTCTTTTCCAAATTGAAGTTTTAGCCTTTTGAATCTCTCTTGGTATGGCAACTGCTCCATGCCCCTGATTGTTTTGGTTGCCCTTCTCTGTACCTTTTTCTAGTTCTACTCCATCCTTTTTGAGATGTGGGGCCCAGAACTGTACACTTCTGTTAATAACTGCACACGTCTGTTAATAGGTAGGTGGCAGCATCTAGTTTTACCTGCAGTGGATCTTCTTCAAAAGGGAAATCTTCCTCAAATTCCCCTAAGAATTCCAGGGCAGTGTTGGTAGCAGGTGCATGTGTAGGGGACCAGTGTCAAATTTTGTTGGGTATCCAAGCATAAAGTGTTAGTCAGCAAGCCCAGATTACATCCTGTATTAGCATGAAGTTGTTCCAAACTATATGGGGTTTGAATGTTTCATCTGATCCTTCCCAACAAGAAGCAATTGCAGCCTTTGCAGGAGCTCCCCAATGTCTTTTACCTCTCTGTAGGTCTTCAAACACTCTCTTCCCTCTTCCTCTAACCCACTGCTTACACAAATCTCTGCTGGGCAACAGCCTAGTTGTACTACTGTGTTGAGCACCCAAGAGGAGCCATTGAATTGGAAAATCTTGGAATCTGCTCTGAACATCACTGTCACGCTTGCCTTAGAGATGTATGGCACCTGACAGCTTCTCAGACTGAAAGTATAATGGGAAATCTCAGTTGTTTCTCCATTTTTTGAAGGCCAGTCACCCTACAACCAGTGGCTCATGTTTAAGTCAGCCAGTGCTGGTGATGACAAATTGTGCTGGGTCTTGCAGCATCAGATTACATAGATACAGATTGCTGTGGTGCACAGGGTCACAGCAGTGACCACTGCCTCCTAACATATCTCTCCCTCTTAATCTAAGTAAACAGAAACAAACGCTTTTCTCCAGTGTCACCCCCATGCTCCCCGCTTGTCACCCTCCTTCATAGTTACTTCCCATTGAAAGTGTTTTAGCTGTCTTCTGTTACAGCATTTCAAAAATCTGGCTCTCATGAATTTGCACACCTAGTATAAGGTAGGGCTCAACCTGCCTGTGATCGCATACGGGACCTGCTGTTGAGGGAAGAAGGCCTGTTTTTCCCACAAAAACCTTTTCACCATTACCTGGCTTCTAATTTTTAGGTCTGCCTCTTAGGATGTAAAAATCCTTTTTGCAGTTTTCATTGATTCCTGTCCAGATGCCAAGCCATGTGCTGACTCACTTCAGCTATCTTTGCAGCTAACTATTCCCCTGGCCTACGTAGAGACATGGCTTGCCATTCCTCCAGTGCTGGAACATGCCAGGCTTCTGAAAATTGCACCAGTTGTCCATTCAAAAAGACTGAACTCAGCTGAGGCATTGGCTGCTGCTTGTAAAGCCATTAAGACCTGACGCAGCTTCACATCCCAATCTTTCCCTGTACTGGACACAGGGGGCGTTTTTTAAAGCCTTTTAATCTCCAGTTAAGCTGTTCCGTATACCTATTAGCCTAGGGATGCTATGGCATATGAAATCTTTACTTAATGCTGTACAGTCTACTGACTAACTGGATTAATTCCCCTGTAAAGCATGGGGCTGTAAAGCATGGGGCATTACAGTAAAAATGCACCACCTAGGAACCACATACTCGGTGAGACCCTTGGCTGCATTCAGGACTGTTTTTGTTTTCACAGGGAAAGCCATTTTATAAAACCATCTACAATGAGAAGTAAATACGTACTACCCTTTGGTGGTGTTTATAAGGGCCCTATATAGTCGATCTGGATTCAGTGCCAGGGACCATGTACCCTTTGTGTATGTAGTGGGAACTTTGTTCCTGTTTGGTCAGCACCACCTGCTATACTTTGTAAGCAGTGCTACATGTAGATTTCCACATCGATTCCAGTGGAAGGCTACTACTCTGACTGCTGCAGTCTTTCTTTGGTATGGGCTACCCTGTGATGACCTCCATAATCATGAGCCAAATACATAATCTCATTCCTGATATTCTCACGGACAACCCACCCCTTCCTCCAGGTTTTGACACCAACAGATCACACCCAGGCTAGACTTTAAGAGGCATGTCACTTGCATTATCCCTTTTGAATAGCAACCTGAGCGAGGCATCCACTTCTTGTGTTTCTGATAGGCTAGAAGCCTCTTCTGGCTCCTCTAATTTAGTGTTTTTTTTATTTTGGCCATTGGCTCCTAGCTCTTCTTTGGTGGTTGCCATGGCAGAGCATTGAGCATACTTTGTTTTGCCTCTAGATCAGCATGATTGTTTCACTGAGCAGGGTCCCCTTCCTTCTGGTGATGACCTTTTTCACCTTATGAAATTAGCCCCTTTTCTACAGAAACCCTGCAGAAGGTCGATAATACATTTATACAGATTTGCATGAACACTGGTGTTTCATTTGAATTATTCAGGTTGTTTCCCCACTGTGGCAGCAAACCCACTCAGAGTCTAAATACAGATGGAGATCCCCATTCAAAGGAGTAATCTCCAAGGGACAGCACTGCTGCCAGCTCAGTGTAACAAGCTGAGTGTAGGTTGCACTGCATGGCAGTTGCAGTGTGGTTAATAGGATCCACAAGAGAAAAGCCAGTGTAGCCTTTTCCATCCACGTGGTATGAAGAGCCATAAATAACCGACATTTCTGTGCCTGGGAAAGCCTGTCCTATCCAGGGTGGTGCTTCCTCAAACTAGTGCTTTAAAGTTCTACCCAGAGGTAAAAGACATTGGGTCCCTACCTGTAGCCCAACGATGACAAATGGGATAGCCAACAATTTTTGCCTGAATGTTCCCATCTATTAGGCCAATGTATACTTAGCTTACCAGGCATTAGACAAATATTTAATGAGGTTGTATGTGTTGTTGTTAAAATAATTGGATTAAGGTTTGTCAGAGATTCAAAATGTTGTACAGCTCAGTCCACCACTAGCACCTGCCTTTCCGAGGGAGAATATTTTTTTTTCCACCCAGCTAAGACCGGAGTTAGCAACCTTTTACTAATGCCAAACCACCACTCGTGACGCAGCTTCTGCTATTGGTTGCTAATTGCCTCCAATTTGTGATTCCCTGTGCCCCTGCACCATGCCTCTGACAGACATATCTTGTACAGTTTGCACTCAAGGTAGCATTGGGATTGCATCCCAGTAGCCCTGGTCCCGTCTTCAGCCTTGTGCCTCCCCTGACACCCCCCAGTGGGAGATGGTTCCCTCCTCTCCCCGCCCTCACTGAATGCTGCCAGTTCCCATCACCTGCAGTAATGGGCAACAGTGAATTTGGTGGTGAAGCGATGGCACCTACAGTAGCAAGAGTGCATTCACCTTTTGGCTGCTCGTCACACCAACACTTCCCCCCATGGCAGCACCATGGCTCACAGGAGGGAGTGGGGGAAAGGATAATACTGGGATGTGGCCGACTATGAGCCACCAGCTACGGGAACTCCTATGCCCACTCCCTGTGGCCAAAGCCTTGAGTCCTTCTGCCCCCAGCCTGGATTCCTGATTCCTCCCCACATACTGTCATCTGGCAATAGGTAACAGTGGATTTGGCCAAGCAGACTCCCCAGAGGGCCTCCAT